AAGATCAGAATGTATTAACTTGCAATCATGTATTAAGTAAGGGAATGTGACAATATAACAACATAGGGCTGTTTAATTTGCTAGTCACAAGCAACTGAACAATTGCTTAAAGGTGGAGTCTCCCGGAAACTAAGTGTATTTTAAGAAGTAAACTAACAGTCATGTAAAATTATGGTTTCCAACATGTCTGTTTTTCCACCGTTAGTTTACTGCTATCATTAGCTGTAACATCTTCTATAATTGTAGTAGTAGAAAAGTGCATGAAGTAACTAGAAAATATGCAAGTATTTTTTCCTTTAAATGCAGGAGTTATAGTAGTATTAGCCATCTATAGGACCCATAGGTGAAAAACTTGCAAGTTTGATTTTTTTTTTTGTTAGTAAAAAATACGATGTTTTAACATTAAGTTAATCACACCGCAAAAGTAGGGTAGAGGATAAATAGTAACTAGATCCAAATAAAAATGCTACAACTTTTTTCTTTTTTTTTTTTTCTTTTTGCTGTTGGGCTGGAAATGTAATTTTCTAGTTGGAATTACACCAGGACACCTAACCAACATATATACTTTACTCAAAATTATTAAGAAACTTTTTTTAAACATTCATTTTTATGCTTTCCAGGGGAGCAGCACATAAAGCAAGAAACATCTTGTATATCCATCTACAAAAATTTAACTTACAACAACACAGAATGACTTCATAAAAGAATAATCAATTTTTTAGGCTACAAAAAGGTGTTTCGTCTTCTCTTGGTGGGGTGAGGGAGGATTGGCTTTTCCTTCCTTGGTACTTACAATTTTAATATTCCCTTGTCACTGTTAGCCTTATCATATTTTCAGAACTGTCGAATGCCAATGCTTAAAAAAAAAAGTAATTACTTTTCCCCAAACTTACAACACTGGCACTAGAATAGTATTATTTTGGGTTATTATTTCTCTTCTCATTCTCAAAATATAATTTTTTATTCCCAACAGATTTTCAGGCATCTCTCCAATCATGAGGACTGAAATTAACTTTTCAGGAAAAAACAGAAATTTGCACAAAATCATTTTACTTCAGGAGCTGACACCTGAAAAAAAACCAATGAGATGTATGACCTGTCATCAAATAACAGGGTAGAGCAATACTGAACTTCCTTTTCTTTCTTTCTTTCTCTCCCTCACTCTAACTCCCTTCCTTTCTCTCTCTCAATAATTGCAGACTGATACTCAAAGTTTCTTTAGACAAGTACATATTGATTCTCTGGTATCATCCCAGCCTACCCTCCTTTTTTTTTTTTTGAGAAATTCTAATGACTAGAGTTGCTGAGAGGCCACAATCCCAAATCTGTGAAGATGATTTAGTAGTACTGTCGAGCACCTGCAGTTGTCTGCACACTGAATGTAAAGACCCAAGCCAAACACTTTATGCCTCTTCCCTTTATAGAAAGAAGCATACAAGTAAAACTGATGGAAAACATGTGCCTCCGGTGAGGCTCTTCCTTTATCTAAAGACTGATCAAGTAAAAGCACTCAGCCAGGAAACTGTCACAATTTTCCAAAGGCAACTCTGCCAGGTTGCAGAGGACTGCAAGGCTTCTAGAAAACTCAAGTCTCTGACATTTTCAGCAGTACAATACCACCACAGGGGAAGGGGTGGCAGTTGCTTCCTTATCTGGGAGACATCCTAACTTCTTTTATTTTCGGTATATGAAACTGCTGCGGTTGTACAACTTTGAATATCAACAAGGCTCCAAATAGCAGAAACCAGGAAGAAAACCCAACAGACTTCAAAAGCATCTAATATGCTTCATAAAGATGCTTAGTAAAAAGCGTTCCATGCCAACAAAGTTTAGGATTATTACCTCTGATTGACAGTGAACTAGGTTTGTTAAAATTATGCAGTCTACAAAACTCTAACCTAATTTTGGAGAGCTGAGCATAAATGAAAGGATGGTCTCCTGATCTCCATTGAATATTCATGTCTAAGAAGAAAGCAAGACTTACAGTACTTGATTCAAATATGAGATGATACTTTGATTTCTGTATTAAAATTCTTAATCAAATCCAAAACTGGATTTTAAAAAAATTTAGTGATCTACTTTAATTTTAAATTTACAATAATTTCACTTTTTTTTTTACACAATTGTTTCTATATCTCTCTCAGTTATACTTTACATTAATTTGAAGACCTAATTCTAATTCAAGATTGAATTCAACTGGGTTTGATTCCAATTAGATAGATACTGTATTTTATTATAGTGACAAGGGGTCTTGATTTTATTTAAGCCTAAAAACTGTCAGTGAAGTTTCTAAAAACAGAAAGTCTACATGGGATCCCAAGACAGCAACAGCTTTGCAGTAGGACCCATTAGACATTTTCTTTATAGCTAGCACATCAAAACCACCAAGAGAGCTTTTAAACTCAAAGCCAGTTCTAACAGAACATAAACAGGAATAATGTATTTTTAAAAATAGAGAATAAGGCAGAACAGAAGAAAAGAAAAAGAATAACTTAAAATTTAAAAAAATAAATCCTTGTCCTCCCCACATTGTCTTGACAGGGCAGGTCCTTTCCCTCTAGTTCACTTTTAAGTACAGGATCCTTTCAGTGATGGACTGGATGGCAACAAATACTGCAGAGTCCCTGCAGTGTTTAGGAAAAATCTTTCTTTTCCTCTCCTTGGACATCTAGCTATAGGGTCTGCTCCATGCTCTTCTTAACGTAACTATCTTCTACCCCTCCTGTAAGCTCCTTGCTTCCTATTTCCTTCTCTCCACACAGCAGAAGTTCCCCTAGCTGAGAGGGCTCAGTCAATGTTAGCAAGGGCGCTCTTCTCCCCTTCCTCTTGAAGGTGCAGCCTGACCCAAAGAGCAGCACAGGGCAAGGCAGGCAAATAGCCTTCTTCACCATTATTATTTAGGTACACGTTTTTAAAGGAAAATAACTGTGCTAAAGCAACAACACAGATGCTACACTTCATATGACTAAACCACATTCCCTTCCATGGGCTGTGTGCATGCCAGAATCACTGAAATTGAGGGATGAATTTTAACTGGTAAAACAATAACTATCAGAGGCTGGCCACTTTCTGGAAGTGTATGGACAGAAGTGGAGCAACGAAGGCCAACACTGACAAGTTTTTCTATCAGGGGCAACAAAGGTTTCTGACTGAAGTTAGAACCTGAGTTTGCTGGGAACCATAGCTGTTGAGCGAGAGCACTTGGGTTCCAGAGAGTGAAAAGCTACACAGGAGACAAAACCAAATAACGATGAAGACAGAAGGGAGCCAGCAAGTACAGAAAATGCTCTCTGTCACGGCAGAACTATCAATGCGTTGATATAGATCACTCTTGGTACAGACTCTTTGTAGGGAATGACATCTCTCCCCAAACCAGGTCAGTGTGCTACTTAGTCATCAGTCCAGTGCAGCTCTTCTGCCCGCCAACAGATAAGCACTCCAACATCTTTCCGGGAGCCCTTGCACTCTTCCAACACCTCACTTTTGTGCCTACCTACACAAAGTATACTTCTTAGCATCATAAACACAAACACAAAAGGCTGTGAAGCAGCCCTCTTTTGTTATAGCTGAGTACGTTATAAAGAAATAGTTCTTAAAGAATTTAAAAAAAAAGTCGAAAAGTTCCAGACTCAAGGAGGTCACATGCATTCAAAGGAGACCTGGACCCTTATGAACAAATTCAAGCATTTCCTGAATCTAAAAGGAAAAGGCAGCTTTGTGCAGGAGACTGTAAGCCCAATTCCACCACGCTGCTCAGAATTAAACAAAAAAGCCTCCCATGAAAACGTAACAAAATGCAACTCATGTTAAGGCCTATGAGGAAGGCCCACTTGGTCACTTGGAATCATTGGAGCAGACAAGAGGTATACAAGGAGGGCAGAGCAGCGCAGAGGGGCCTCTGCAGGCAGCCGGGGAGAGCTCAATGCTATGTGCTGCGCAGACACTGCCCGTCTAGTCAAGAGAGGGCCAGCCTGGAGCAGTGCAGATATAAAAGACTTCATATCAATTAAGTTGGTAAATGGGAACTAATCTCAGCAGCACATTAGCAAAATAGATTTCACTTGTGTTGATCTCACAGTATTTTGAACAACTAACAGGGAAATCAGGCATTCCCATTCTGAGTAGTATCCCTATCTTGGCCACCACTCAGATAAACATTCATTAAACATGATCGAATGGACAAGGAAAGTCACAGGAACTTGACCGCTATGATACTGTGATAAGAATGTATTCAATTTTGAGAAAATAACTTTGTCATATTATGGTTTTAGAATACCTTTTTTCCCCCGTCTCCTTGATTAAAGAGTTGAATGATAAACTAGATGCCTTCTAATTCCAACGCAAAGAGATTCTGAAAACACCTTACCAACAGAAAAGAACACTTGCAGGCACAGAGCAAAGCAAGGTTGCATTTTCCTAACTTATATTCACTTGTATCAGCTTTTGGCATGTGTTATTGAAACTCTGGTCTTAAGTATTTGCATTTGCAGAGTAATTCTTTTACACTGAGGCCATCTCCAAATGAAAGATTCTGGGACCCATAGCTACCTCTGAAAAACAATCTTTCCCTCTTGGCTTGCCAACAGAAATTCCACGCTGATCTGCAAGTATTCTCTTCAATAAAAGTCAATTGATGGCCAAAACCAGCAGGACAAACCGTGCACAGCATATCTGAACTAAAAGCACTATGTTAAGTGCATCAGACCACTTGCAGTGTTAGAATCACTCTAGGAAAAGGACTCTGCCTCTAAGGGGAAAGACTTTTAAAGACAGCTTAATGAATCAGCTGCATCATAAGGGAACCAGCCACCAATAACTCTTCAGAAAGAAGAAAATAGCTACAAATGATCTGAAGAATTCAGCTGGGAGCACCATAGTTTGGCTAGTTGGAAAAAATAAGTGGTCACGTATAGGCAACAGGAGCCAAGAGCAAATAAACACTGAAACTTTAGAAAAATTTAACTCTAAATTACCTAACTGAAATTCACATCTTTAAAATGTGAAAGCAGCTATGGAAAATAATATACAAAATATCCAGCTGGACACTTGTTATTCAAGCTTTGGATCCACCAGGGATTACGTGAAGTATCTTCTTTTTCTTATCACTTTAATTAATCATGGAGAAACAGAGGAAGAGAGGGGAGAATTCATAAGCACTGCTACCATCTCTTATTCATACCAGCTAGTTCTAACTGATGGTCCATATTTAGCTACAAGACAGAGAAGTCCAATTTTCAACTTCTACTTTCACAGCGAAAGTTCAGTCAAAGCCCTTTGGTTTAGGTCTAACATCCCCCTAAGAAATCACCATCCCAAAGCAGACTGAAAAGGCAAAACAGTAACTACGAAGAATAGATTTATATAATTCCTTTGCTATTTAATAACTGGAGAGAAGTAAGGAGATAAACAGAGATGGTTCACTGGATTAGTTGCATTAAAGCAGTATTTGTTCAGCAATTCAGTGTTGGGGACAGCGGTATTTCCAACCTATAAAAGCAAACAAAACCACCTGAGAGTTAGCTTCCCGAAAGAACAAACAAAAGATTTTTGTTTCAGTAACAGAGAATTAAAGCCTCTGAAAGTCTGTGTCCCATGCCCCACTATAGAATTCCAATATTGTTGGTAACAATAGATGTGGAGTAGTTAAAATTGCCAGCTGGTTTGATTTTCCTCTGTTTCAAGGAACGTGAGAGAACTTGGGTGATGAGGTGACTGGAATTTGAATTAACTGGCTCTTTTCTGTTTCTACCCAAACCCCAAAATATATCTTGGCCCTGTCAAATAAAATATCTTCGGCTGAGGAGCACTCTATTTCTCTCTCCAGCTTAAGAAGATATGTCAACAGCTGGCTGATAATTTATTAACTAGTAATTAGCACATTCAGAAGTAACCTTGAGGTGCTGATATAGCAACAAACTTCAAGAATGAAGCACAAATTAAATAAAGTAACCATTTTTTGTTTTGAAATAAATTCATCTTGGCAACTTACATTTTTTGAGCTCTTTGCCTGCTTCACTGAAGGTTCAGCAAAAGCAATACTGGGAAAAGATGTTACTTTCACTTATTCTACAATTCTGCTGGTGCACTTTGAGTGTGCACAGTCTCTTGTGATCAAATCAGTCCTATTTTTTGTTTTTATCCATAGAGTGAAAAGCCTTGAACTCTGCCCTACAAAACTAAAGGGTGAATACAGCTGTACTGTATTACAGCAAATTTGGCTTCATCATCAGAATTCCTTTTGCCTTACATTGAAACTGTTTGTTTTTCACCATTTCAAAGATTTTTAGAGGGCACAAAGGCAAGACGTAGCACTGCCTCCCAGAGTGCTAGACAAATGAAGCGTGCCTTAAGAAAATATATTAGCACCGTGTATTTGTGAGCACCACCTCACTTATTCAAATCATTCACAGCAGTGCTTTCATTTTCCAAATCTGGTGCCATAGTATCATCAGCCAAGATTTCAATGATAATCTAACACAGTGCAACTTTTATTTTTGCTATTTTATATTTTTGTATTTACTTTGGCTCCCAAACATGAAGAAATATCAGTTGTTTGGCTCAAAACCAAATATAGCTTAAAATAGGAAACATTTAAAAATAGTTCTGTTTCTATGCAGTAGAATAAACAAGACACACATCTAAGACAGCCACAACCATACAATCATGGAATAATTTAGGGTGGAAGGGACTTCTGTAAATCATCTAGTCCAACCCCCTGCTCGAAGCAGACCTAATCAGATCAGGTTGCTCAGGACCACGTCCAGCTGAGTCTTGAACACCTCTAAGGACATCAATTCCATAACAATTCTGGGTAACTTCTTCCAGTATTTATCATCCTTGTCAAAAAAAAAAAAAAGTCCTAATATCTAACTGGAGTTTCCCATGTTCCAAATTGTGCCCAGTGCCTCTTGTCATATTGCAGTGCACTTCTGCAGAAACTCTGTCTGCCTTCTTTGTATCCTCTGGTCAGGTAGCTGTGGACTATGTTAGATCATCTTTCTCATCACAGATTACATAAAACACCAATGCTCCTAGCTACAAAATCCACATTAATAAATACTCTGAATGATGAAAATAGGTGCCATATAGACCATACCCTTAGAAAGGGCAACAAAGAATACCTTATTAAGAGAGGGTAAGCTAAAAGCATTGCACATAGTTTTGTCATTTGCAACTGAAGTTCCCCAGTTAAATATTTTTTTCAAATATTAGTATGCCTACACTCTGTACACAAGTCTAACATTACTTCAGAAAAGTAGGCTGTCAACATGCAGCAGTTAACTGCAAAACACATATATGCACGTCTATCTACAAAAGTAGCCTAACTTGTAAGCTTTCAACTTAGCTCACAGGATCTCTTTGCTCAGGCAGCTTCCGAAACAGATGAACAAAAGCAATGTTATTCTTACCTAGGAACCAACATTTATTACACTGAGATACACTGGCACATTTTTAGGGATGAGCAATCAAAAGTTTCAGCAGTACAATTCCTGTTCCAGTCCTAACACTCTCCTTAAACTGAGTTTCTCTGCCCCCAGGCTATCAATTCTGTTCATTTCAAAGCCATTCTGGTGGTTCAAGGAAGCAACTGAGGAGCAGAAGCAAGCATTTCATTTTGAAATGCTACTTTTTTCACTTACAATGACACTTGTTAATACAGAAATAGTAGCTTTTTCTTATTTTGACTATGGCGCTTGATAGATAGGATGACTAAAGCTTGTTATTTTAAGCTTTATTTTTATTTTATTACCAAGGCTTATTACTTCATCAATAACCAGATACTAGTAAGTGATTCCACCTTATTAAGTTTCGAAGTTAGCACCTCTTTTCGACTCCCACTGTAACTGAGAGAGTAGATGTGATAGCATGGTAAGCACAACCTGTCCTACAACTTGCAGTAATTTAAAGAGAAGAAAAGACATCACCAAAGAAAGATCCAGACAACTTAAATTCCATCTAACTTCTGATGTGTAGTAAGAAAGTTGGATGCCTCTGAGAAGGATCTATGTGCTAAAGAGGAAGCCACCTTATGTTAGCCAACAGGAAATGCAGAATTTCAATTAAGTCTCTCTGGGAAATAAACTAGAACAAGCTGTAACAAGCTAACTTCAAGGCAAAAAAAAAAAAAAAGTCTTATTTTCATGTAACCCTCCATACTGCATTTTCTAGCTTCTCTTGATGCTGAAAGAAATCTTTTTCAGACAGTACAACCACAACACAACCACTTGGTCCGTTTACTTGTTTTCAGAAATTGCATTTAATTGTTGTCAATTGAGTTGTCAGGTGGACATTCTGCCATCAGTTGTCCTGTGCCACTAGAATAATCTATTGCAATTCCAACTTCACTACTTGCCCAACTCAGAATAAAGACGCTTTCAAGAGATTTTAAAATAAATTCCTTCTTGTCTATACCTTTAAAATACTTTTATTTGAAAGATGGCAACTTTTTTTAGGCTTATCAACATTCTTAACAGACTGTGCACAGCAAATAAGATAGCATAAATTATAATTCCCCTCTGTACTTCTTTCATATCATGGGTCGATTTTGGAATTTCGTTTATAATAGAAATTCACCACAAAAGGAGTACAAATATCTGAAATATCCAGTAGGAAAAACCCTCAATACTGGTGTTCAGCTGAAGGCAGTAACCCACTAAGACCTCCACAGGAAGAGATGTACTGTGAGGGCCCAGGGTCAGTCCCATCCTTTCCAGTGCCCTTTCTCACAGCAGTCTTTCAGGATTACTGAGACCTCTTCCTTCAGTTGCAATGCATATTTAGTTTTACTAACGCTAATCTGAAATATGCTCTCTGTTTTTAACAGATATAAGCTAAATAGATACTTCTCAGAGAAACTTGTTAGAGCATTTATATTACAAAACTATACAGTTTTTAAAAATTCCTTTGCCAATTCCACTCTAGTGATCACTACCGTTCAGAACTGAGTTAATAAGCTGTAGCTCGCTATTACTTTACAACTAATAAGGACAATGCAGCAGTAAAGATGTAGTTACCAGCAATTCCAGCTTCTATGTATCTACATAAAGCAATGTACAAAAAGGAATTTATTCCTCGTATGCTGCCATCTCTCTCACCTGTTTTCAGGTCAGTCAAGCAATTCTTTGAAGTTCCACTTCCATCCTTTTCACTATCTCCCTCACAAGGCTCCTTACACATGTTGATTTAAAATTATTTTTTATTTTTATAGTACAGTAACTATCCTCATTTTTAGGTACAAAGATGAAAAGAGCCTGGATTTAAACTCAGGATCCCACTTCAGTGGTCCAACCCCCATTTCCAGCTTTCATTCTGCAGCTCATTTCCCATTATTTAGTAAAATGGCAAACAAAATTGAAAACAAGCAAGAAAACTGTTGTTTGAGAATAACCAAGTCTGCAGCTTTGATGGAAAAGGGAACCGGAGTTAAACTTCTGAAAACTTCTTTGGACAGAGTTCCAACAACCTGTCCCTGACTCCTGTTATAAGATATTATTTAATTTTTCTTTTAAATCTTAGAAAATTCCACTCCTTTCTTTGCTCAGTCAATAAACTTAGTTGTGTTTAAAGGTCAAATATGTGTGCAAAAAAATTAGTTTAAATAAAATTCAACATCGAACAATTCAACATTTTTGAAGGATAGGGACAGAACAAAGCCTATCCATTATTTTCAATGCATAATGTCCCCTGAAACTCCTTCAAGTTGAACCATTTTTGATGAATATTACTTTTCAAATCAACAACACACAAACTACAAAACTTAAAAGGACATTATTTGTCTATGAAAAAAATCCTTGTTAATAAAACAACCTCAAACCCTTATTTCAATTTAGATTATGGATCACTTATTTGCACTAGGATAAAGCTTGATTTGGATCTGATGTAATTATGATCTCCAGGGCATTGTTCCCCTGGCTTTATTCTCAGAGCTAGTTGTTTGTTGTTGTTTTTTCCAGACTGGCCTGGCATGTCTTTTTCTGGGCTGATGCAACTCCACCTGGACAGAGCTGATGAGACAGTGACTGCATCTTGCCCAGAAGAGCTGGTCTTTCCAATCCTGGCTCCTTCTCCTGTCCAAGGAAATAGTTCCAAGGCAACTCCACCCAGACTGGGCTACGAAGAAAACTGTATTTTGGCCAAAGAACCTGACAGATTCTGTATAAAGATATTCAATAAAGGCATGTAGGAGACTGTGGGGAGCTAGAAAAGTCTCCCAAGTTTTCTAGGTCTAACTCCCTTTTAAGCCCTCAAAGAGCACCAGCTAATGCAAACACCAAAAGAGAAATGTGGTCTTCAGACATGGCCGCATATAAGGTAGTCATACTTCAGAGCTGATCAGCTGAATAAAAATATGGACTTTCTTTAACAGCAGCTCCTCAACAGGGAAAGCTCAACAAGATACTAAGAACTTAAGCAGGTGAGGAATTCAGATGCTGTTGGTCTGGCCCTGCCCACAAATTATAAATAGATTGAAGTGATCAGTATTAAAGACTGTGGACCTTAATGCAACAAGTTTCTTAAGAACGTGTTCATTGGCAGGCAGTGCTTAGGCTTACGATGGCCATTACCTATTCAACGGCAGGCAGTGTTCAGCATCACCACTCCCTTAATCCACTTCCCATCTACAAATATCAATGCATTTTTGAAGAATCAAAAATCAAAGGCATAATGAAAAACAGTATCCGGAACTACAACTGCATTTGCTTCTGAGAGAAGAGTGAAGATACTATACTTTACAATCCATGATATTATAGAATCATAAAATAGTTTGGGTTGGAAGGGACCTCTAAAGGTCATCTAGTCCATTATCATTCATTACCGAATGCACAGATAACCTGCTAGATGGATTGATATGTACCCACACTGCAGTGAGGTTCTCACGTTGTAGCAGTCATTTTGAAGTCTGTTCCTTACATGTGATCACTATGTATTACATCAGAATACATAATTTTGTTTTTTTCAGTACATACCTTTTGGATTGATTTGCTGTGTGACTATTCATCTGGGGATCTTCTGAAATATTTAGGGAGAATGGGAGTGAGATTTAAAAGACGAATATGAAATAACTGATGGCAAGAAAGTATCATTTCTACTGTGTTAGAATAAGGCAGCTTTGAATTAATGTTAAAAATCCCCAAGCAGTATTAAATTGATATTTGCATGTTTTTCTATATTCGTAGAACAAAATAGGTAGTCATATACTAAAATCCTCCTTCTGTGATAAGTATTATTTGCCATACTCCAAGCAGTTGAAAGAGCAAGTCTTTAGCTCAGTATTCTGTAACATTGGCTTAGATGTTTTCATAGCTAATTTTGTTTTACCTCCTTCTCTGATTCAGCACACAGTTATTTTTTAAGGACAAAACTGCTTTAAGATAGTAGTATTTAGACAGCTAACAGGGTTTGCAAGCTATACTGACAGAGTAAATTTGAAAACAGCACGTACTTCCAACTCTTAAGTTGTAAACTAATCTATGAGTCTCAATCACCAACATACCTAGGTATGTTTCAAGATTGTTGCCTTCTCCATTGTAAATCTGAAGAGTTGACACCCAGTCCTTTTATGCACTAGTCCTCACTTCTAAAAAGATCTATCACTAATAAGCCAGTACACAGAGCACTATAAAGTAGACCAACTTGATAAAATCCAGGGAAAAAAGCAAAGTCAATGACTAGAGGTACAGAGTATGTTACCCAGGAAAAAAGCCTGAATAAATAGGAGTCATCCAGCTTAGAGGAAAAATACACAGATAGATATGAAGACAGTATCCAAATATATAAAACAAACAAACAAAGTTCCCAGGGAAAGCAGTATGAGTAAGTTCTGCTCCATATCTACGAAGAGCAAAAGTGACATAAACTGTAGCAAGGAAGATAGCTGGAAAACTGATAAAGGCAGTGAAGCTCTGGAACAAACTGCCTCAGGAATAAGCACAAGAGGGTCAGCATGATTTCAGAAAGTCCATTTCAGCCCTGTGTTTCTTTGTAGAAATAAATATTTTTCCACTTGAAGGCTACTGGTTTTTCTCCTGCACCTCTAAGTATGCACCATAAAGCCTCAAGAAGGGCTGCCCTCCTCAATGCTATGCTTGAATTCCAATGTCCTACTTCCTATCTCTAACATGTAGATATTGAAAAGCCAATAAAGCATGATCTCTTCAGTGTACAGATAAGCATAAGAGAACTGCCAGGGAGAGGAAAGATTAATTTGTCATGTGAGAACAGAAAAATATCTCCGTGCAATTGCTTGAGTAAGGGCAAGAAAGAGCATCCAGGAAACTGCAAGCTGTTCAGCCTAACCTCGGGCACTAGGAACAGATGGTCACACCTATGCACATGACGAACAAGAAGGTGGTTTGGAACAGCCAGCACAAATTTACCAAGGTCAGACTGTGTCTGACCAACCCTGCTGCCTTCTGTAATGCTATTACTGACTTTGCATACAAGGGGAAAGTGGTGAATGTCATTTACTTCGACTTCGACACAGTCTCTGCTGGTACCCTTCCAGCCAAACCGGAGGAATGCAGATTCGATGGGTGGGTTACAAGGTAGATGGAAAACTGGGCTCAAAGAACAGCGGTCAGTGGTTAAAAGTCCAAAGTCCCCATTGATAGCCTTTCTGGTTCTCAAGCAACAGCAACAGTAATTCTTAAACTCATTTCAGTGAGGGAGGATGTTCTGTGATTTGTGTACACTTGGGAAAGAACTTAGGTTGGGCAAATAAAAGAAGATGAGTTGTACATAATGATCTGCTTTCAAATTGAAGGGAGACAAACTAGATCGAGACACCCATTCAGAAATAGGTACCCATTAAGCTACCTTCCTAAATCATCTTTATAGAATGGCAGTGCAATTAGTGAGACAGACACTGCTGCACTTCTAATGGATCAGTGAGTTTGAATGGTTTGTTCCTCTGTCAAGATTTAATGTTTAAGTAAACACACCCATGCCCATCTTGTGAGAACGACAGTTTAGTTCACAGGTTCTCAAAAGATCAAATAAAAGGTATCTAAACCAGAAACAAGTACTTCATCAGAAGGTAATGTAATAATCTATTCCTAGCAGAAACATCTAGAAACAGAAAAGTACAATCTGACCCTCCCATCGAGATTGCATATATAGGGACCATTCCCATAACAGCACAAGATGTAACAATTCTTAAATGTTTGCAAGCTTGTAAGAATGTACTTACTACCTTACTACTGTCTAATGGGATTTATTTTCTATTTATAAATCCCCCATTATGCTGTGTATAGTTGAAACAGGCCTCTTTAAAATAATATGCATCAAAAGATGAAAATCGAATGGGAGCATCCCTTCTCTGAAGTCACGATGGCTTTTCACTTCCAACATTGCAACCATCATATGATCACACAAACTATCTGAGTTCTCTGCTCAAAATCTTCTTCTAACATCCAAGACATACAGGACTCCAAATAGTGCAAGGATTAATAGCTTTAGATATTCACTTGGCAATGGTGCTTGCAATATTCTGTGGTTTTCCCCACTTTTCAGAGGCAGACAGCTGATAAAGCAATTAAATATCTGAAGCATATGTAAGACTTCTTAGGTGTTGCTGTATATCACATGCTAAACTCAGAAAGAATAAGCAAACTTCATCAGTTAACAAAACCAGTAATCAACTGTGAAATGCTGTTATGCTTTGAGAACTGCGATTTGGTCTTGTCAATGCATTCCAGTCTATCAGCAAAGCTTTTAACTGGTTATTCCCTTTCAGTTTAGAAAGCTATAGACACAAACCCCCCCCTAAAAAAAATTTGCTCAGTGTTTCCAACTGAGTAGTCAAAATAAAGTGGTTTCACTTATGTCCTTGGTCTCCAGATTGAACATTCTCACACATGTCTACGACACTAGCTGGATACAGCCGAGTCCTATAAGGGCTGATTCCAACTGCATATAGTTTTTCCAGCTGGAAAATGTATCTAATCTTGCACCATTAGATGAGATAGATCTCAAGACTGATGACCTGGCTTCTTACAAAAAAAAAAAGTAACCGATTAAGAAAAATCACAGGTGACTCTTTTTGTCTTCTTCTTGATCCTTTTTATCTTCTTCTTGATCCTTTTTATCTTCTTCTATATTGTTCCACATTCTGAGTTTGCAGAGATCAAAGGAAAGCTTCTACAGTTCAAGCAAATGTCTGAAGAAAAAAGCAACAG